TGTGCTCTGAAAAGGGGCTTTGGAGAGAGAATGAGGGGGAAAACAAGAAGCACTCTCTTTCTCTCTCTCTCTCTTTCTCTCTCTCTCTCTCTCTCTCTTGTTCTCTCTGTGCACCTTTCCGCCTGCCTATTTCTGGATTTGGCTTTTAGCCTGGCTGCATTGTTGCTAGGAATGTGTTTCATGCGTGAGATTTCTTTCAATGGAGAAAGTCATGCAGCTGTCACATTTATAATGGCCAAATGGATAAATTGGATTAACCACATATAGAGTGCAATTCACAATTATCGACAGCTTTGATAAAGGAAAGCAAACTGGAACACTGAAAAAATAAGAAAAACCTCTCAGAGTGGTAAAATTATTCAGGAAAAAAAGTCTGAAACATGATTCAGCCTTGATTATGATTAGCACCTTGTGGAATTTATGATAGTCAGAAATGGCTAAATATGGAGAATTAGAGAATTTTGGCAGAAAATGCTGTGGAAAGTAGACTTTGCTGTCAATCGGATACATTTTATACTGGAAATATGACAAAGCTTGCAGTGGGGTAAAGCTATTAAGAAAGAAACAATTCTCAAAAAACATTATTTCACATTTCAATTTCATTTTGAAATTGTTGTACAAAAAGATTTAATTTATTTCTAACTTTTTCATTTCTTATTCTTTTATATTATTGATGGGTTGATAATATACTAATATATTATTTGTATTTTTATATTCATAGTCTGTTATTCATTAATTTTGCTTATTTAAGGCACTATATCTATTATTCTTGGGCCTGTATCATGGAAAACTACCTCCACCCATGAAATGAGAGATATAGTCAAATTTCAAAATGTATCATTCTCTCCATATACACCAACTAAGCAACAAACCAGCTTATGTTGATGTTTTTGTGATGTCACAGAAAACAATGCATTTATGTATATCCATTCAGCCTACAGCAGTTTAGCCCCACCCATTCACAGTGAAGTTATAGGGAGTGTTTCAGATCTAAATTATTTAGATGAAATTGCTTAAAACAAGTAATGAGAAAGAAATGAGCTAAAGTTTCATTCAGGCTAAGAAATATTAGATACTTAGCAAGTAAATTCAAGATGATTCCAATGCCAAGATTTTTTTTTTGCAGTTTTCTTTGGGGACTATTTTGCCTCACATTGCCTTGCATGTACCTCTCTATCATGATTGATTCTTTAAAAAATATTTAGGCCAAAAGCTATGATAGAACAGTGCCTCATGTGAATGACTTTGTTTACATTTTAACCATTTAATTATGCAGTATTGAATACTCTGTTCTGGTTGTCCATGATAGTATTCAGAGTTAAATTTAAAAAGTAAAATTATTAGTCCCTCCAGCACACTTACACAAACACACACACACACACATACACACACACACATACACTGCAAGACAGCTGCAGAATCCTTTCACTCATCAACTGCTACTTGAAATGATCTTCTTAGATAGCACATTAGAGCCATATGGAGCCACTCCCTCGCAGTGGCAGATGCTTCTGAAATGCAGTTTTGTATTACAACATTATTTCTCACACTGCTGGAAAGAAAGCATGCCTTTTTAATGCTGTTTTCCTACATACATACTTTATATTTGTCACATTTCTAATTAGGATCACTGATCACTGTTCAAATTGCATTGATAGTAATTAAAGGTGTGAATAATTACAAGCCATATGATACGATGTGACAATACTTAAACCACAATATTGGATTTTCTAAAAATTTATTTTTTATAGATATGTTAATTTTTGTGGTATGATTTATTACATTATATTGGGATATACACTATATGGCCAAAAGCATATGAACACCTGAGAATCACACCTATATGTTGTTACTGTATTACTGTATTACTTTTGCATGCAAGTTAAGCTGCGTTAACAATGTTGGTTTTATGTGTTAAAGTTTACAAAGTTTATTATTGAAACATAACAGAATTGTGAAGTACGCAAAGCAACATTTCATAACATTGATGAATGTAACGTTAGGAGTCTAGTCCAAGGACAAGGGAACCAAATCTTTGCCATGTGTAGAGCGATGGTGTTATCCACGATGCTATATAGCCATTCCCACAAATATCAGCTTGTGGTGGTGCTTGAAGGAAAAAAAAATTTCAGTGCTGTGTCACAAACTAAGAAAACAATTAATTGTGTTGTTCTGTTAAACCGCTAATAGGCTTAATACCCATGAAATGTAAAGAGCCCTGTTTATATTCATGTACCAAAAACATTTTTACTTGACCATCGTACAACCTCCCTTATCTATTGTAATTAAACAAGCTGTTTACTGAGCCTTTTAGACCGAAACACATAACTGAACTCTGTTCTGAATAGCTTCCATGTATTGCGGCTCATTCAAAAAGAAGCAATGAAACACTCCTTATTCCTCAACTATACTCCTGATAACTATACTCCTTATAACTTCAACTTGAATGGGTGGGGCTAAACTGCTGTAGGCTAGTTAGGTGGATATTTGCAAATTAATTGGTTTTTGTAATACTACAAAAACAGTGAATTCAAAATGGAAATTTGAACTTTGTTAATATGAGCCAGTAAATAATTAAGTATTCAAACTAGCACTTGGGTCTCAGTGTATCAATACCATTTTTTCACCCATAATATCACAACACTAGTGATTTATGTCCCACCACTACTAGTAATCTATGTTACCAGACAGTGTTCAGTGAGTCTCGCAACCTCTGCAGTACATAAATGAAAGAAATCCATCCAGCAGTACAGCAGGTAATGAACAGAGAGTAGAGCAGACAGGAGCTGTTCGCTTTAGCTTCTGTATGTGGATGCTTATGGCAGCAGCTCTGCAACAAAACAAAATCCATTCTTAGAGGTGTCCCACAGAGCACATTCTTTAACAATATTGATCAGCAGCATGCGGCCAAAGCCGTGGGATGCGGAAGAGAGGGGCAGATGACCCATTCAGGGAAGGTGTCAATCACTGTGATTGCTGGTATGGAGAGAACGGCCGGTAAACACAGAGGTCAATGGGGTTTAACCTTATTTATCTGTTCTCTGTTCTGCTCTAAATAATGCACTTAGAAAAGAACAAGCAGGACATGAGTGGGAGGGGGTTTTCTGCTGCTTGTGTTGAAAAGCAACCAAAAGACTCTTTGTTCGTACTTTTGGACATATAACAGATACTTGGCTGCTTCTTCCATATTCAAGTTTCAGACTGGGAATGTGCTCTCACTTTAAAGTGGAAAGCCATCATATTTGTCATATTTGGTGAATTGAAAGTTACAATGTTATGTGATAGAGCTAGTAGAGATAGCAGAGCTAACCCTATATTATGGAAAAAGTCACACTGTGATATTTTAGCGATAAATTCTGAACAAAAAAAAATTCTCAGATAAACTATATTCAGAGTTAATCTCACTCTCTTAGTGGAAAATATTTTCTAATGTTGTGGGTAGAGCTGCACGACACGGACGAAAGGTCATTTTGCCTTTATTATTATCAAGTGCACTCAAGTCGTTTCCCACTCCTGGCAACCACATGGGTCGTGTTTCTCCTGAATATCCCATCTTCTGTGGGGGTCTTCAGAATGGTTTTTTGATTTCTCTGATTGTATCTTCCTCATTTACCTTCAACTTTTCCAAGCATAACAGCCTTTTCCAATTAATAGACTCTTCTCAGAATATGTCTATTATAAAAGATCTGTAGTTTTGTTATCTGAGCTTCGATTAAGCGATGAGGCTTGATTTGTTTGAGGATCCATCTGTTTGTTTTCTTTACCATCCAAGGAACTCTCAAAAGTTTTTGCCAATACCAAAGTGCAAAGGGATCTTTATTTTTCCTGTCGTGCTTGTTTATTAGCCAATTTCACATCCAACCGCAGAGAACACCCCAGCCTGGGCAATACTATTTTTAGATTTAGTTAGATTTAGTTAGACATTGCGAGTGCACATACTGTGAGTGCAATATAAGTTCCAGTATATTGACAATACATTGGAAAACTCCTGTGATGTAATTAAAGGAAAACTTTGACCAAAATGAAAAACACAACCATTGCTACATCTGTTGTAAACATCCTTACTTGCCTCATACGGCAGTACTGCAGTCTCTATACTGAGATTTTCTAGTTTAAAAACTAACAACCTCTTACAAGCTGAAGTTTGAAAGGTTCCTGGCTATCTAGATATCTTACCTCAGTTTGGCTTCTTTTCGTAGGGTGAAAGGGTCTCTCTGCTGAATTAAGATGGATGTGCTGTTTTCTTTACAGTCCTATTCAACAACTAAGGCAGGAATGACTAATGATAGCTTGATTGTATTTATTAGCCTGTAGACCAGTGGCTAGCAGTCAGGATTGGTTGACACCACAGGGATTCCTGATGGCTATATTATGTATTTGCGCAATGCATGTTGGGTATTGTAGTAAGAGAACATTGAAAGATATAATTCTGTTCTGCAGAATATTATGTAACACAATAACATATTAAACATATTAAGTAGTTTTAGGCTGGTATGCCTTTTTAATGGGTGTTCATAGATGTTAGTGTATGTCTGGTGAATGCCTTGATGCCTTTGATATTACCCAAATAACATCTGTGATTGGTCAGGATGCTCACAGCTCACAGTGAAATGGTCAGTGATTGGTTAGAGGCTTGTTTGTGTATTGCATACTTCTACAATATTGCATTGTAAAGGCTATTATCTCAATTATGATTAAACATGTTGTACAGCCTGTGTGATTCTCTCTCTCTCTCTGTCTCTCTGTCTCTCTCTCTCTGCATTCGCTATCCCACACTATTAATAAAGGGCATCCATTAGCATTACAATGTCTCAGTACTCTGGGAACATCATCCTCCATTACTCCATCTGTGCCATCTTGCTAGCGGAAGATAAACAATTGTCTTTACTTGGGGGACGATGCTTCTCTAATAGTGCACGTTTGCATTGTGACTTGACAAAATATTAGACGAAAGCACAGATGACTCAACCTTTTTCTTTCTTTTTTTGTCTTTATTTCAGGGAAAGAAGAGTACGTGGCATCCTTCAAAGGCTCTGAGTACTTCTGCTATGACCTGTCCCAGAACCCGATACAAAGCAGCAGCGACGAAATCACGCTCTCATTCAAGACGCAGCACAGAAACGGACTGATGCTGCACACGGGCAAATCAGCTGACTACGTCAACCTGGCGCTGAAAAACGGGGCGCTTTCGCTTGTCATTAATTTGGGGTCCGGGGCCTTTGAAGCCCTGGTGGAGCCGGTCAATGGAAAATTTAATGACAATGATTGGCATGATGTCAAAGTAACAAGGAATCTTCGTCAGGTAACAGTGCAGGGGGTGCTGACCTAATCTGATCAGTTAGACCAGTCAAATTTTCTACAAAATTCGATTAGATGTACCAGACATGTCCATTTATTCCCAAAATGAAATATTCAATTATAAATTGCATTTTAGAACTGATTAGAAAGATGTTTGAGCAGGGACATACCTTGATGCTCCTTCCTCCCTTTGAAAATGAAACTTTGCAGAATATAAACAGAATATATTACATCTTCGGTATATTCTTTTTTTGTATGGGCTGGTAGCCAGTTGCAGAACTGGGCTCGATAAGGCCAGAAACACGGACAATATTGACGTATACATTCATTAGGTCCATTGACTTGTAAGAAACAAAGCCAGTTGTCTGACTACATCCTCACAGCACCTTTAGAATCACCCCAAGATCAATAATGACTAGTCTGGTCAATGATTTAGAGCACCTACCACTTACGCTGTCCAGGCACTATTCAGTGATGAGGCCGTGTTTTTCATGCAAATTGGCAGTACAAGCAAGCCCATACAATAACAATAATAGCACCCAAAGAAAAGACTTCCACCTAACAGAAGAATTGGTAAAGGTTAAAAGACAATGTGGCCAGCAGTTTCAAAAACATAGCCAAAAGCCAAGAGTGGCTCACTCGTTAAAGGTCAAACTGTTCAGCTTGATGTTCATGTCAGAAGTGTCCACTTGGTCATGAAAGCAAAAGTTCCTCTGCAAAAGTGTTGAAGCATTCCACAATGCCAAGTGAGTTGTAGGAAACGTAAGGAAATGTGAAAAATGCCTTCACATGAAGGTGTAAAAGATATGGAGATAGAAGATAAAAGTGGCAGGTTAAAGTCTACCAAGCTTCTAGATTTTGGTATGGTAAAATGGTAATGCAAAGACCATGACATCGAAACCAAACATAAAGATATAGAATAGGACTGAACAATCTTGGTCCTGAGACTTATCACCATGAGAGGCTTACCTAGAAAAGATTCATACTGAAACCAGGCAAAAACACATTGAATCTTTTCAAGGTGAGCCTCTCATGGTCTTTGCATCATACCTGCATTTTACATCTACAATAACTCCTACATATCCTCTACACCTGGGGTGCCCAGTCCTAGACCTGGAGACAATGAGGCAATGCCTACAACAGGCCTATAGGAGATATATGAAAATAAAAAAAAGAGATATAGGAGGTGTAGAAGATATATGGTGGCAAGTTGAGATCTGCCAGGCGTCTAGATTTTGGGGAAAACCAAGGTCATCCACTATGTAAGGAGAGTCATACTGAAAACAAGCAAAGAGGCATTGGTCAATGAAATTATTGTTCTACAATAGTGTTGAAGCTCTCAACAATGTCTGCAACAGGCCTGCAAGCGGTATATGAAGATATAAACTAGGTATACAAGAAATATTGTGGCAAGCTGCAAGCTCCTAGATTTTAGAGAAAATTTAAATAATCTGTAAGAATTCTGGACTGATTGGACATAAGTATAATTAACTTGGCTAAAAATAATTATGAAAGTACTGTCCAAGACCCATCCTAGACAGAGTATGCCCTTGCTCAAATAATAAACTTTTTTATCAGTGATCAGAAAATAAACAAATTGGGCATTTTCATCAGATGAATGCACAGAAATCAAATGATGCACATTATGAATGCATGCATAATCAACATAATTAGGGAAAAAGACAGATCATCCTCGCTCCATTCTGTGTAAGGATCTCCTTTGCTTTGTCTCATGGCAATAAAGTGAACCTAAAGTTCATCACTGAGACCTAAATAGGAAGGCACGAGAGCTGTTGTTTCCCAGGCGATAAGACTGGTCGCCATGCTAGCACACTAACCGGTCAACTTTCTAAACAACATGATACCGGGCTTTGGTTAAAGAGGGTCGACTGATGTGCTTTAGGCCTTACAAGCCATTTGATGTTTGTCGGTCATGTACTGTGTTGGGATGGGCAAGAATGAAAAATTGACCTTAATAGCATACTTTACTGTGCGGTTAGAGATATCAATGCTAGCACCAACTTGTAGTTAATGTTAGCCTGCTTTTTCTTTTCCTCAAAAAACTTTCTTTGCCCTTTCTTTTTGTCTGTTACTAACATGCTGTGGAAAACTAACGTCATTCATGGAATGTGTCATTCTACTAACAGATCGTTTCTTTTTTAACGGACAGTGTACTAACCTTGGTAGTAACCATCATATCTTTTTTGAGTAACGGTCGTTGTTCTGTTCACAGTTTTAATTTCCTTTCCCCTCTTTTCCACAAAGCACTCAGGCATTGGACACGCTATGGTAAACAAACTACATTGTTCGGTAGATATCATTCTAATTGTTTCTTAGTTTGGGTTTGCCGTGTGTTTTTTCTTTTCTTTCTTTTTAATGTAGACGTCATAACCAAAAAAAAAAAACGGGGAATTGCGGTTGGTACTTCTCTGCTTACTTTTTTCCGACTCCTTTTGTTTTTGTTTGTTTTCTTCATTTGTTGGTTCTTCCTCCCTTTACCTTGTTTCCTTGTCCAGTTCTGTTTGGGTCCGCCTTTCGGGAGCATCGTCTTGAGCCTTTCGCATCAAGCAGTGGTTCACAGGGAGGACCTGCTGCTGGCTGACTGGCCTGATGCTCTTTTGGCTCAGCCAGTTTCTGATCCCATTACCTCGGCATGGCATGCTTTATGAACGCCCGCCGCCTATTCAGCTTAGCAATACACCACTGCTCTTCATCACGCTTGGTTGTCTGTGGTGTCTTCTCTCTGATCTTAGTCCCAGTCCCTTCGCTCATTCCTGCCACCACCCATCACTCGCTGCCTGAACATCATGTCTTGCATGGCTTCTTGAACTTAGCGTTGGCTCTTTCTTTTTGCATGCATGCAGCTAGCGAAAAGAAACATGAGCTAGCATGACTAGCTAATTTTAGAGATTCGTTTTTTGTCTGTCCTGCTGAATTTGCCAAAAGCAAACTGTGGTCGTGCTTTGCATTGCCTGTGCTTCCAGTCTAACCCTATGGCATTTTACTTTCTTTCGATGCAAAAACAAATGACTAAAACTACTAATAAGACTTAGCCAAACTAACCAAGTTAACATTTTTTACTAACACCATTTTTGTGTCTGCTAAATTACTTTTTGAGTTGCAGTAGATGTAATACTAACCCTACTTTTTGGGCAATCTGTTTGTAAGCTAACTAGACTATTATATGGGGCTAGCATAATCTTCAAATTAATCTCTAACTGGACCAGATAAAAATGAAAATAAAGACATTAATTCATAACAATAAGAAAGACATGAAAATGGGTTTCAGATAAGCTAAAAAAATCAGGGAAAAGTAATAGAAAAAGTAGGTCCTGAGCAGTAAAACCAAACTGCAACCAAAAGGTTATTGGAGCATAGCGTGTCCTTTTCCTTTGCTTTGTTGTCTAGGTAACGATATCCGTGGATGGGATTCTGACCTCCACTGGATATACGCAGGAGGACTACACCATGCTAGGCTCGGATGACTTTTTCTATGTCGGAGGGAGCCCTAGCACGGCCGACCTGCCCGGATCGCCTGTTAGCAACAACTTTATGGGCTGCCTCAAGGAGGTAAACAGCTTGTTGGGAACTTTGCACTGCTGCTTAGGGAGCTCCCTAAATTCCACAGTAAAAACGCAGACAGGCTGTGTTTTTTTGTCTCCATTGAAGGAGAATGAAAGGGAATGAATTGTGCTTGCAGAACAAAAAAAAATACACTTTCACATAGCAATAAGTAGATTTTATCTTTCCAACTACTGGTTCTCCAGAAGTTTTAATTAAGAAGAAATGCAGATATTCAGGTAAGTTTGGAATTTCTTTTCACTTGTTTGCTTCAGCTGAAGAACAACGCTATGAGAATGACTATGCTTTTTTAAATAAAGGGCTCTTTAGAAGAACTGTGTCATAGAAGAACCACTTTTGGTTCCCTGAAGATCCTTTCAGTGGCTTGTTCTATGAAGAACTGTTATTGTAAATGTGATGGGAGTGTGAAGAGCCTAAAGAACCTCCACATAATGGAAAGGTCGTATACCAGTTAAACTTTGTTTTTAGTATTTTACAGTACCGTGCAAAAGTACTGCGCAAAATTACAGCTGGTTTATTTAATTTCCAGTCTGTCTTCAGCATCAGGAAAAAAAACATCTCTCAAAGATTAAAGTTTTAAATGCTGTTTGTCTGATGGAGAGTTTTGGTTCAGGTGGTTGTTAGGAGGCCATTTTCTTTTCATCGTTTTCTGAACTCCAGTTTTGGAAACTCTTATATCAACTCTCATCAGAAATATCTCCTGAAAAATGAATAAACTATACCTAATGGCTGTTTTGACTAGAAATTAATTAAATGAAGGGTGGTCTCTGACTTTTGCACAGCACTGTATGTCCAATTTAAGAACTGTTTAGCAATGTTTGTTTCTAAGTTGCCATTTTAACATATGTGAATGCATTAGAGAGATGGATAGTCCTAGGCAGAAGCTTGAGCTCAAGCACATTGCAAAGATTCCAGCTCATTTTCAGCTTATTGATGAGAGCACAAATCTTTAAAGAATTGAGGAATTGAATGCATCATTAGGGGGCTGACTTCCCAAACACAGATTAGCCTTGTCACGGACCCCAACTATTATAAAATAAATGGGATTTTCAATGTAAAATCCTCATTAACATTTGCTTCATTTTTGTCCAGTAATACATATGAAGTCACTGACCTGTGTGGTCTGAAGACTCTTCTCATGCATTATAGCCTTTGGGCTTCATCTAGCGTAGGCTGTTATTTAGAATATGATGCAAAGGTGCTATTGCTATTGTTGGAACTAGAACTATTGCCTGATCTCTTACGTTCCTAGATCTCTGTGATAGCTAGAGGAAGGCAAGATGGATAAGAGGATGACAATAAGCTCGGATGGTTTTGTGCTTTTTTTTTTTTTTACTTCATTTGCAAAGGTGGGCTGAGGTGCATTCATTGTAAGTCTTTGCTTACTGAGAGTGAATCGTTACTGTTATGCCAAAACCTCATTTTTCTGGAAGTGGTTTTTACATTTTTAAAGTATCAACATGCTGATTTACCTACAGTTTTTCACCAAATTAAGTGGCGGTCTGATAATTCCAGTCCTGTCCAGTTGAAAAATTCACTGCTACTCACCACTTTCAGTTTTCTAGCATATAGAAATCAATTAGAAAAGCAAGATCCCGCAGGCTGATTAAAGAGCAGATTATAATGGCAGCCACAGCATTACTTAATATTCACATATGCACAATACTGTCAACTTTTAGTATTCCAGAAATAATGGCTATTGACCACGTGTGATGCAAACATCCAGTAATTGTAGAAAGTACAACCCATTAGAAGCTTGCTTGACCTGCAGTAATATTATTGGCTTCTGGATCTGTGAGATAAACTAGTCCAATGCAGCAGGGCTTGGGACTAGTTTGTAAATGGCAAAAATCTTTGACTTTATGTTTATGAGAACAAAAAGCAGTTGACGAATAGCGTGTAAAACTGTAAGTGGCCCTCAAACCATATTTAGTTTAGAGTGCTTTTCCATCTTTTCTGCTTTTTTTCTTGTCCACTTACTCAACTCACTGTACATATAAGAGTTTTTGGGTGTCTAATGGATCTTCTGACCCAAAAAGGCATGAGCAGCCCACAGGGATGTGCCTAATTGTCTATGACTGGCCATAGTAGAGCATAGTTGATCTTTTAATTTCAACAGAGTTCTTTCCACTTGCCTATGTAGCTTCCCTTATTTCTTTTTTCTTTTCACTACATCTTTACTGCTGTCCTAGATTACACCCCCTCCCAAACTCCATCAGACAAGCCTGTCCTCACTGAACCTTGAAGAAAGTCTTTTGGGGACTTTCCGTAACTAGCTCTTCGGTTCTTTAGCACAGGGCTGCTCTGCTCTCCTTCTCAGGCTCATTAGACAACTCCGCTCATTAAAGTAAAGGAAGCATTTCAGCCAGTGGTTTAAACAATGACGTTTTAACACATTGTGGATGAAAAAAACACACAGAACAAATTTCTCCACGCAACATTATCATTTCCTTCCTGCCAAGCAGAGCTTTCCAACGATAGCATCGTAAGACGTGTCAGGCGTATCCGATTTAGACGGACGCAGCCTGGGATTTGAAAAGAGAACCGAAGGGACCAGCCATGTCTTTTTCAAGCCAAATTGGTATGTTTTCATCATTGCGCTTGCCTTGCCTTCTTAAAAAACAAAGTTTTCTCTCAGTTTGCAGTGAAATGTCTTTCCACCAGTCTTTCATTCCAGCATGGGTGTTTTGCTCCAAATTAACGTTGCGCTAAATTAAATAACCGAAGATGTTTATTGACCTGAGCCGAGCAATTATGCTTGCCTGCTTTTGTATAAGAAGCCTGCCTTAATCAAATAATGAAAGAGAGCAATGCAATTGAGAGCACTTCATTAACACTGCCATGCACCTAGGCGTAAACCAACTTCAGATAAGTGTTATCCATATTTCATTGATAATTTCTGAAATAGTCCTGGTGTTTGGCTCAGCCACACATGTTAATATGCACTCCCTGTTAAAGGTTTTAGGACACCTTGTCGTCTTTTGAAATGTTCAAATTAATATTTGTTTTTCATTGTTATGTTTTAGTTAGATTAGAAAAATACATGCAAAGGATTTGTTAGCATAATACAGGTATTTGCTAATACTTAGGTTACTCACTAGCACTTTGACTGTACTTTGCCGTACTCAGAGATGTTCATCAGATCATCTTATTTGGTATGAAAAGTAGGTTATGCGTAAGTAATATCACAGTTTTCTTTTCCAAACTACTGTTAAAAGCTAGGTGTCCTCAAGCCCTTGACAGCCAGTGTATATAGAAGTAACCAAAGAAATAGAACTACAGCTGCAATATCTGAAGTACGGAATTCAGACTTGCATGTTGAACATACTGGAACTAAGCTACACTCTCAAAAATTAAGGTTTCTAATTGGTTCTTTGCTTTTGGTATAGAATGTTTATATTATGTGGAGGTTATTTAAACTACTTCACACTTCCAAATCTCATTTACAATCTATGATCTATCATTCTAGCTACAGGCTAAGCTAATACACTAGCCGCAACCTAACATGCTAGTTGTGATACAACAATGCAGTATGATACAGTGTGATATGATATACTATGAAACAATTCAATGTGATGCGTTGTACTGTTTCATCCTCATTAAAAATGAAAGGTTCTTCTATAGCACAGCTCCAAAGGACCCTTCTTTAGAGTGGTCTAGGTAGCAAGGAAACTTCGTTTTGCAGATGGAAAACCTCTGCCTTTGATTCAATTAGAGTCAGTCTACAGTTGATAGAGTCAAGGGAAGAAATGTACCCACCAGGCATTATCCTACTTATTGACTGATTGCTCCACGGAAACAAATCCCCAAACTTTTTATGAGCTTTGTTCATGTAAGGGTAGAATTGTGTCATAATGGGCTGCAAAAGTTTGCTTTCTTGTGGACAGATTGAAGAAGCTTGCATGGGCCTGCATAAGGGCTTATGAGGCTGCCAGGCTGGAACCCTGGAATCCAATGCTGATGGCACATAAGCAGTGGTTGGGCTTTTGACACTTTTTTGCCCTGAATTAAATACGTTTATGCTATGTCCATAGACAACTATTCATTTTACACCATGGCATGAGATTCCTATTTGGCAGCTGGTTAAGCCCACGTCACTATGTATAGAAGAACATCATTGGCTAGTAAGCATTCTAATATATATATCTGCGGTTGTATTGTGGGGAAATGATAAGCTAACTTGCCTGTTCATTGTTAAACATCTTGGTTTGAGAACCTTGAGTAGGTCTTCATAAGCCTTTGTGTTGCTGCCAATATGTTTATAGACAATCAGTCATTTTACACAGTGCAGGGGGGATTCCCATTTAGCGGCAAAGAGGTCCTACGCTGCTATGTATACAATGACATTTACAACTAGTTAGCTCTCTAATGTCAATATACATGGTTGTATCGGGTCAGAATGTCTTGTGAAGTGTGAATTTTGAGGAACTTCAGTTGTTTTCACATGTCCTGGTTGGAGAAGCTTGTGTGGTCCTCTCAGAAGTGGAACCCTTTAATCCAAGGCTGATGGCACATAAGCAGTGGCCTAGGTTTTTGACAAGACGGCCCCTGTTTGAAGGCTGGCACACTTCTGCGTTTCTGGGACTATATTAAGATTACATCCATAGATAACCATTCATTTTACAATGCAGGGTGGGATTCACATTCTGCAGCCACTTGGGCTCACGTCGCTATGCATAGGTTGACATAATCGGCTATTTCTTTAATGTGTATATCTGTGGTTGTATCATGCAGAATGGAGCAAAACATGGATAGGCTTTCAGGGCCATCATAAGGCCTTGTCTTCCTGCTGAGCTGGAACCCTGGAGGCCAAGGCCAAAGGCACGTAAGCTGTGGCCAGGATTTTGACATCGTGGCCCCTGATTGATCACGAGTGGCCCGTGGTCACGCTTTGAGCCCGCCGTCCCTCCTGCATGTCTGCACTCTCGCAGCTCCCTCTGCGCAAAGCTCTTCTGTTTTGATGATGAAACGCTGTTGCAGTAATAGCC